TTTCTAGGGCCTCACACATTCGGAAATCGACAAAGTCATAAAATACTCCACCAACAAATAAACGAATACACTTTAGCAGGCTGACAGAAATCAGCTCCATAATTTGTAGGCCTATAAGTTACGAGACTATTATTGTTGGGGCGGATAATTCAAGAGGATGGGCTGGACATGTAGCACATACGCGTACGACAGTTTTTCTTGGAAAGTTTAACGAGAACAGATTATTTGGACAGATCAGCAGTACTATTAAAACTGATGTCAAATAAGTTGTAAATGTCTTAATCTGATTAAAATGGCTTCTGTCAATGGTGACAAGACACAAGACAAAGTTTCTTGGTCCAGTGTTCAAGAAAAACCCTGTATAATGGAGTCTGTTGGTTACATTCCTTAAACACTCAAATACTTAATTCGTTAGCTAGATGGTGTGTTAATTAATTGCTCACGAAAAATATTACAGTTGAGGATAAGAGACCGAACAGTTGACTGTTGTTCTGAGATTCGAAAAGTTTATTTCCTAAAACCAGGCAAATTCGCAGTCCCACAACGGACTATGCGCTATAAGCCTATTTGCGGTGTTCAGGGCCTAATTATATAATATCGATTTGGGGTAGCTCCCTGCAGTTAACAATTGCACTGTTTAGTTAAGGGATATGGCGGCGGGCAACTTTTATGTTATCCCGTAATCGAATACGTATAAATTATTTCTATCCTTATTTACATACGCGAACGTCCGAAGGATGAGTTACAGTGTTAACACGTTCACCGCCACCAATTTTACGGGTCATGACCTTTGAGCGCAAATCTGTCGTAAACACCTAAAAATAATTTTATTTGGGGGGGGGGGTGAAACAGTCCTTACGGGTTGCGATGTCTAATCGTAAAAATTTGCATGTTCTGAGTACGTATCTATTTACATGTATTTCATCAGATGATAACTCCTCCACTACTTCATTTCTGGTATGTTTCAAAATTAAATCAAATATATTATTTTATTTTCTATTTCTAATTTATTAATATTCATTTAGTCTTTATATTATTTACTTTACAGGATGATACAAAAACAACAACAAAACGTTCACCCACACAAAAAATCATGTTAAGCACGACGTACATATCCAGAACAACTTCGAATACGATATTAAAAATACAATAAAATCTGGAAGAAAACATCATTTGAAATCTGATAAACATCTGACTAAAAGTTGCATTTAAGAAATTATGTTTAAGTTTATATAATTTTATACACCTGAAGATGGAACTTTTAGAACTGAAACATGTCGTGTAAAAAGTGATGATCTCATGTAAATCGAACATTTCGATAGAGAACATCATTTAATATATTTTAAATATTTAAATGTTAATTATGGTAATATTTTAATATTTGATAGGAATTTTATTGTGATTAGACTGACAAGATTTAAACAAATATAAACAAATAAACAAATATGTATTTCATCTTTCATTATGCTATATTATATATACGACGTAAATATTTTCACTTCTAGAAGCTGCATTATAATTTAGTTTATTATGTGCACAACAATAAAAGAACAGAAATCAATTTTCTTCAGCAACTGCGATACTATTTAATTATCCTTTCTGCAGGGTAAAAGGATATTCTATTCGCCTAGGTTACCTGCTTAAAGTATCTACATGAATCTATGCACCGTAAAACCAGAACTGTGTGTCTAGACGATCAAGAGCCCAAATAGGGTAAGGCATCGAACCAAACGTAGTAAGACACTTGTCGGTTAAGTAATTCGTCACGCCCAAAGTTTCCCTTCTTCACTCCAGACTCCGTTATTGAACGTAGCAAGCCAGAACGTGGGCTAAAACACGACGTTGATCGCTGTGAACACCAAACTATGGGATTCCAAGGGCTGAGACGAACTGTGTAAAAGTTTCATAAGGATTAAGAATTCTAAGACTAGCTAAATACAAATAATACCACTGTAATACAGTTGCTTCTCTTCGTAAAGAAAGGCTGTACGCAATCTAGACTTGGACATTAGTTACAGGTGAATAATCAACTTCACTTTCCTTCTGCCTTCACCGGAAAGAAGGTCAACCGATATTAAATCTATACCAAGAACAGAAAGAATTTGGTGACAAAGAAAATATCCAAGAGATCCACAAGTCTTTTTAACTCAGACCGAAACTTCTTATTCCACTTCAAGGTTGAGCGCGTTATTATAAATACGAATTTCGACACAAAATGGAAACGGTCGGCTTGTATTACCTCAATCGGGAATGGAATTTTGTGCGGGCCAATCACAAGACGAGGAACTCTAGGAGAGGTAAATGAGCTATGAGCGTGACTATGACAGGGGGATACAATGTAATGGGTGTGCGATTTTGGTGGCGAAGTCCCTTAGAATGGAGTCACTTTGAATATGAAGAAAGATGAAGATGGATTAAGACGCATTCGAGGGATATCGGTTATGGGAGAGGGATAGAACTGGTTCAGGAAATGTGGTTTTGCAACGGCTTTTAAACCCGGACAGTTGGTAGTTATGATGATTGAAATGGTCTTTACCATGCCCGAGATAAGAGATAAATCTTATTCGAATGTTGTGCTTGAATCGGGCCTGCCACTGGCAATTATGAAGTCGCTTCTAAGTCTGACGTGTTCTGATAAGGCGGCTAATACAGCGAGCATGAAAGCTGTCTTCACATTACGTGCTAAAATTAAGCGTGTGCGCGTGTCTGGGTCTTCGGAAAAGACATTCTGCTCATTGCAGCCTTGAGGGGAGAGGGGGTTGGTTACCCGAGAAAACTATACAAGACGCGAGGCAACATGTTATGTTTTCCCACGCTCAGTCCGGGTCAGAGGACGAAGTGAAAAAGTTGGGCGGAACATCCGTCAGACACGCGACCACAAGACCACTTCCTCCTGCCTGCACAGTTCAAAGGCCATGTCGTAAATAACACGAAGGGACGAAAGTGTTCAATACAAAACAGAAATTTTAACTGTGGTCTTAAACGAGTGATTTTTTAAAATTGTACGTTTCGGCAAACAATGCAGTTGTCATCTTCGGGAAGAATATATAACGGCCAATGTATAACAACATTATCATTAAAAAAAAGTGCTAAAAGGAGTCTTGGCCTCAACAAAAAGCACCGACGTACCGACTCTTACAACCTGTTTAATTAAGATCCATTTTAATATTATCCCCCAGTTCCTTCCTATCTCCAAAGGTTTCCCCACCAAAAATCCTCTATTAACTTTTTGTCTACCACATCTGAGGCAGCCTACGTGTCCAGCCCATAAAAACGTCTTTCGTTATGTAAGCTACAGTCTTAAATTCACGGTGTTCCACATTTCGTAACTTCTTCTTACTTTTTCGGCGAGTTATTAGCCCCACGCCCAATCCCCAAGCAGGAGAACGACCCCAGATGTCGGCTGTCCGCGACTGCTCATTCAATATATTCACAGCTACCCTCCATATCCAAAGGCCGCCTTCTCCATCCGCAACCTGAGAACGCGCCATGCCCTAGTGACAAGGCCCGCGTTTTAGATAACATTCTCACCTCCCCCCCCACCCAAAAGGTCTTCTGCAGCCGCCCCTCACAATCACTAGCAACCAATAACATAATCGCTCGCTTTCTCTCATTGCTTGTTACGGTGATAAGAGTGAAGCAGAGTGGGGGCGGTGTTGACCTTCCCCCCTCTAAACGTTCTCTTAAATTTGAATAAGCAGAATAAATACAAGGTATTGGTTGGGAGGTCTGACGGGAGGAGGCCGCTGGGAAGACCTCGGCGTAGGTGGGAGGATAACGTCTGACTGGAATCGACGGAGCTAACTGGATGCAGCTGGCTCGGCGTAGAGTCCGGTGCAGTACACGGTCATGGACCTTCGGGTTCCATAACGAAGTTCGATCTTAACACGCACGAAGACCGCGGAAAACGTAGTTTATTACGAAACGACACCGCGTTACAGGACAACGTCATCAGTCAAGGTGTGTTGATTGCAGCGTTCCTCAACCGGGGTCCCCGAATTGTGCCTACGGGGTTAAAGAATTAGTTGCCTACTTGGTTGGTTAATTTCTGAGAGCAAACAGCTATTTTCCCGAGCATAAATAACCGATGATCCTTTGTAACAAAGTAAGAAACCGAATTTTAAGCTTACGCCTTGCACTTTTAAGCAGAAAGTAAAGTGATTTTAAAAAGATTCATGGTACTCACCTCCAGTTCCAAGTCCAGCGTTGGTGATGCTGACCCAGAAATCGATGGTCTTCTCAGGGCCGAGCTCCTCGTAGTCCCACTTCTTCTTAACGCGCACGGCGCCGTTTGGTTCCACAGTAACCCAAGGGTTCTCGTCTCGAATCTTGAAAGTCTCTCGCTCCGTCTCTTTCTCCAGCTGGAAAACGACGCGGCCCTCGGTCTCGCCGTCCGCCTCTGTGAACTCTATCTTCTTGGTGGGTCTCACTGCGCGAGTTACGCGGCGCTTTGAGATCCGGTGCGCCTGCGGTGGGTCCTTGTCCAAGTTCTGCAGGTGACCGTCGTCTTGAGCCAGCGAACTGAACTGCAGCCACACTTGAGCAGGAACCTCGGACGAACGACTGGGTATTCTCAAGTCGTGAGCATCTACCGTGATTTCATACTCAACATCTTCTCCTAGAGCACTCGGAGGGTCCCCAGCCAGAAGCAAGTCACCTGTCTGGGGAACTATCACCACTAAGTTACTTGGAACGGCAAGACGGTATGCAACCCGATCCCCGTCCGCATCCGTCGCCGAAACTGTCCCTATCGCCGCCAAGCGCTTCCACGTGTTCGTCACCGTACCATTGTCTTCCGAGCCACTCTTACAGTCTCCCAAGTTGAAACGATAAACGTGCTTAGAAAACACGGGACTGTTGTCATTTTCGTCCAATATTGTCACTTTGACTTTGGTGACAGCTTTGTCGATGCCACGGCCGTCTGCCGCCTGCACGGTCAAGGTATAGCTAGACGTGGTTTCCCTGTCCAGAGGACGCGCTGTCACGAGACGAACCCCATCCAAGCCCATTTTGGAAGTACCGCTCAGCGTCTCGTTGTCTCCGTTTACACGCTCCTGCAACGCAAAGGAGCCGTCCTCGTTTCCGGCCACGATGGCGTATCTGACTGGAAGTCCTCCGACGCCACCCCCGCTGGCTTCAAGGCGAGGGATACCCTCGACCGTGGTACCAGCGGGCGAGTTCTCGGGCACCTCTCCGCCTTCGTACAGATCCTTCTGAAACGCGAGCATGTCCCTTCGGTCCAGAACGTAAAGCTGCAACGTGTGTGTGGCTGTACTATTCGGGGTTTCCTCCAGAACGACCAAATTAACAGGTCTATTCACCAGCGGGCTCAGATCGGATGTGGTCATCACCAGACCGTCCTCTAACACAGTGAAGAATTCAGAGAAGCCGGTCTCCAGCAGACGGTAGTTCATCAGCTGTTGGCTTCCTTCGAACTTCTTGATGCTGTATCCGGGATATATGTCATGTGGTATGACGGCAATACTCCGTCTGATGGCAAGACCTCCTGCCGACATTCCTTCGGGATTCAACAACGTTACCACGGCCACAAGGAGGACTAGCGCTAGGTCCTCCATGTTCTGCGGTCTCTACACTGACCTGTCCTCTAGACGAGCGATGGGAAGGGATGACCCAACCCCACACTCACACACTGCACGTCCACCGACGCCTCAACACATGGATGTGGTTCTAACTGCAAGGAGAGAAAAAAGGGGTAATTATAAGCACCACAAAGGCTTCGAATACTGTGACGTTCACACACTTCCCTAGAGAGCTCTGAGGTTTCCACGACAGTAAAAATATCGACTGTGGTCTTCTGCGCTGTATCGCCGCGTAATGTTGTTTTTGTAGAACGTAGCGTCCTTGAAATGTTGGTAACGTATTTTTGATGAACGTAAGACCCCAATCTACAGGCTCGTAGCGTCCTTGAAATGTTGGTAACGTTCCACAAGACACATGTAACACAACAGAAAATGTTTCTAAATTTCGGAAGACTTCTCTATGAGAGTTTGGAATGAAATCTTATAACGGGGGAGATGCTGCGAGGAAATATAGCGGTGAAAACCTCAGACCTCTTTCTTTCATTGTTTTAAACCGTCGAACGTGTGTTATCACTCAAATAAACCAGACACCGACTAATAAAATCAATCCCCTGTTCGACTATTCCACTACATATAATATTCATGGGATTAATACGCTTTGTAGTTGGATATTTGACATTGCTAAAAGGGAAGTTGTATTTTGAATTTCTTATTAAGCCTGCTTATATTTAAGCGCTCCAAACCGGTGATCACGCGATATTCTAATCGGCCATCACTGTGCACGATCCCTTTCTGTCGTGCGTGCCGACGAGACGATCGCACTGCTGCCAACTTTGGAAGTTCGGAAATCCTTACCACTCCTTCACATCTCATAACTCTCGCGTACTAAATAGATTAACAAATGCCTGTAGCAGTGTGTCTTCGTATTGAACGCTGCACATCTACGGGGCAACAAGATCGAAAAATACGATTCCTAAATAGACGAAGCAAAGTCCGTAAGAAGTTTCTCGGCTGATAAAAAAATAACTATTTTTAATCCGAAAGTTTATTATTAATATCCGCAAGAGCCTTCACTGGTCCTCGTACTCCGATAAATCCATTTCATAACCCCACATTTTAATAGTATCCTCCCACCTACCACCAGCCTCGTAGTAGTTTCTTCCCTGCAGGTTTGCCAATTAAAAATCTGCCTACATTTCTAATCTCTCCTATGCATGCTGCATGCCCCGTCCATCTCAAACTTCGTCATTTAATTGCGGGTGAAATTTTACTCGTAAAGAACTTATAAATCTCTCACAATTTTACTGACGTTTCAGAGGTAAACTTCTACCAGACTACACGGCGCAACCATCTTCAGGATATTTTTCTTCCTTTGTTGTAAGAAACCACGTTTTGTCAGTCATACAAAACTGGTGGCTAGACTTTTTTCATGTAGGAAGTGAGAATACCGATTCAGAACTGGACAGCGCCAATCATTCGCCGAATCTCGACTTTGTTTCCGCTCCAAGAGAATCTATAATCGTCTTTCCAGAAAATTCACTGACCAGAATCCACTCAATGACTGTAGGATCGGCTACAATATGAGACACTTAAATTGATCTCATAAAAGAATCTCTCGTTCCAGATATTAATCAATATCCCACTTCAAAAACTACATCAGAAACAATGACACTTGAAGAACCACTTATTTTTCAATGTCATGGCGTTGCACAATGAAGGTTCCCGCCTTCTGCCAGCCAACAACGGACTTCTTACGAGAGAAACGCTGATAGGGGGCGCCGGTTACCAGGCAACGTGACGGATGGAGCGCAGTACGCAAGCTTACCCCGCCCATAGCCGGCCTGCAATCACATTCTCGACGCACTTGGAAGCACACGAAGTCACTACATCACGGGGCTCACACCGAAATCAACAGATCTCGTTTGCGTCACTGAGACGAACTTCTTCTTCCGTTTTATCACTTTTCTTATCCCTCCCACTCTTATTGCCTTTCCTCTTTCTCTCTTAATTATTCCCTTTATCCGCTTTCTCTTTCGTCTTCATCTTTTGAATATACTAAATTTTCACTCCTGCTTCGTATTCTGGAGGTCCCGGGTTCCAATCTCGGTCCGGAGACCGAGTATCCACTAAGGTTCATAATTTTCCTCAGTCCCTACTGGTAAATTCCGGGATAATACCTTAAAATAGGCCACAACCGCTTCCACGTCCCTTCCAATTCATTAATTATCCTCTCATCCTCTGTACAACCTCAGCAGCCGACAATATCGTCAAATACACCGCAGATTAAAAATAAAATACTGAACTACTTCTCTTTCCAGTCTCGCTACTCGCCATGTAGGTCGCTTGGGGGGAGAGGCGGCACTAGATGGGGTGAGTGGTCAGCTATACCCCAGAGAAGGACCCCAGTGCCCATTGGATAGGAGGCTGGGTGGGCACCAGAATCGGTCTGGACGCAGAGGCTAGAGGAAAAAAAGCCTCTGCCCCCGTCGGGGATCGAACCCCGGTCGTCCAGCCCGTAGCTAGTCACTGTACTGGGCTATCCCGGCTCACATTTAATATTATAAAGGCAATGAAAACAAATACCATGACATAGACAGAGTATGGTTTTGATAACAAAAGCTCTTAAGGGAAGAAACCACTTGCCAGACCTAGACACAGATAGAAGGATAATATTAAAATTAACCTTTAAAGGATGTGAGATGTGGACTGAATTCATGTGACTCAGGACACATCCCAATAACCAGACTTTTTCCAAACACGGTAATGAGCTTTCGTGTCCAAAAAAGGCGGGATTCTTTTCCGGATAAGTTACCCTTAGCTTCTCATGAGGGCCTGAGAAACTGAGAAAATTTCCGAATAAGACTCGAACCGAGCACACCGAAATAAATATCGGGCGCATTTGTTAGAAAATATTGTGTTAATACAATATAACTCCAAGGCATAGGACACGTTCCTTTGATTAATGGTGCTGTCTCTCGTGTATTAGCGTGCTCTGAAGCGCCGTTTTGTGTTGCCTGGCTACGCTCCAGCACAAGAATCATCGCTCCCACTAAGGAAATAAAACGACTAAACAATAGCCACATTACGTTGCTACGAGACCGAACGCCGTAAACAACTGAACGCTGTCTGCGAGACAATTAATTGTGGTATTCAATTACTTCAAATTGTTTAATCATCACAATGATGGTTTCTACAAACAATTTGTTGCTGCAAGTCCATTCGAAATCGGGCAGTGCTCGAAAAAGTGTCATGCACGTTCGGTATTTATAAATGTCGGCCTATCAGCAGCTTATAACGTGCATAAATTTATTAGCTCTGGACCGCTGTTAGTGTCGTGAACCAATTACAATTTTAATCAACTGAATTATTTGTTTGATCGATTCACTCTTTGACTACAGGCTGCATTCTGCGCTGGGGCATACATGGAAGGCATCAAACTCCACAGTCAAGTAGTTGGCATACCTGCTTCGCCCTCGGCCCGGGGGGACAACTGTCTCTCACAGGATCTTCTTGGTTTCCCTCAGTCCCAGCAGACAAATGCCAGCATAGAAGACCCATATTAAAATCAGGCCATTACCACTTCCTTCTACATCCTCTGCCAATCATTATTTCCCTATTATTCGAAGCTGTAAGGCTGTAGGGGAAGAGCCGGGTAGCTCAGTCAGTATAGTGATTGACTACGAACTGGTTGACCGGGATTAGATCACCGACAGGGGCATAAGATTATTTTCTCTAGCCTCTGCGTCCTGTCCAATGGGTATTGGGGTCCTTTCCCGGGGGTAAAACGCGGCCAGGGCGTGACGCTAAAAACTCACCCCCCATCCAGAGCCGAGGTTAAGAATAAGTAGAAGCTACACCTCCACTCCCCCCCCCCCCCCATAATCCACGATGCTGACAGAATCGTTAAATAAATAAATAAATTCAAAGTGCGGTAATACGAAAATGAAAGCATTCTATTTTCCTCGCAGAGATAACTAAATGTTGCAGGTGGAAGTTACCTTCCTGATCGATTTTATTCGCTGTAAACTTTTAAAAGTTAAAGTGCATTATAACAACACAGAAAAGTCATTCAAGCACAGGCTTAAAGGCCCAACTACCTAACTCCGTGTAGAAGTATCCTTATCTTAGAATCTGCCAGTCGCTCAGCCTGTCAAAAAATTCCACGCCTCTGACTGGCCACTAACCTCCACGTACAACCGAACGCAAGAACCTACTAAGCTTTACCTCTACTTAGCCCCACGTCATGGTACAAAGTTTTGGTGCTTAAGACACGAGAATAAGAGACAATATGTCGCGTATCATTTCGTTATAAGAGTCTCGTGACGAGTCACGAACAACATTTCTGTGTCAGTATGTCTAACATGAAGGCATACGTTTCCATGACCATCAATGTTCAACACGAATGACCTCATGCTCTTGTACCTCACGCGGGTAGAGTCAGTGAAGAGTCGAATTGCTCAATTTAGGCTTTTTAACATTTTTATGACTGCCACATTCCACTACTTTGGTGACAGAAGAACCCCAAGCAGTTCACCACTGAGGGTAGTTTTTACAGGTACAGAAAAGCAGGCTTCCACACAAAGTCAACATTGTTACCACTTTAAACCTGCTTAAAAAATAAGAAACAGCCCAGGTAAGGTCGGGCCCAACAACGACTCTGGTCTTTCATATGTGTGGCACTCTTCCACATTCGTTTAGAAACACCACGCCAATTTCTTCTTGGATAAGCATCTTTTCTTGGTGCTCTTTGATATTAAGCCTTGATGTTCATTTATAGCCGAAAAATTCTGTTTCCGCCCACCCAGATGGCAACTCTACAAGTCGAATAATTATTATTTAAATTAATAAAGAAACTCAGTTCTATTTCTGACAATGAAGAAGGCGTATAAACTGTCTTCTGGGTTGTAGCGCCGAGTAACGTGGTATAAGTTCACCGACGTTTCAGAGGTATTAGCTGTGTCCATTATCAGAGTCATCATCGATGTCCAGAGGCCTAAGCGCCATAAATTTCAGACTTATAATTTTGATTGCAGGTTAAATATGTCACGCATTCGAACTGCAATACTCTTTACTGCAAATGGCTTCGTCGAACAGGTTCTTATTCAGTTTCAAGCAGGTTTTACTGTACAGGCTTCGAGTGCCTTGAATTTTTAGTAGGATACATAGTCGCCCTTGAGCAGTGGTGACTAGATGGTCCATCAATAGACACTCACGGTACTTTTAATAGTAGATGATAAGGACACATCCAACAAGACAACTGCATTATACTGAATATAATTGACGTGTTGTATCAATAACCACATCTGCATTACAAAGGTCATAGGCTCGAATCCCGGAACAGACTCCATTATTAGTTTTATTTTAAAGTACGCTGCGTTGTAAAATGTTCAGTTGTCGCGTTATTTTGTGCTGAGGGTATCACCGATCTCGTTCAACCCCATCGCAGCCACACTCCTCCAAACCCTCTCTAAATCCCGCTTCTGATTCTCCCACGAGATTCGCCAAAATACGTAACAACACGGACTTGCATGTTTTTCGTTGCAGCGAAAATTCTGTGGTCAGTAAATAAAAAAGGTGTGTCAACTTTCCAAACGCGTAGTTTCATTACATTAAGTTCAGTAAAACGAAAACAGCGTATTCCAAACACTCAAAAAGTGGTTTGTATTAAATAAGTTTGATTCTAGTTCAAATACAATAAATTATACGTCTTCAGCCTATTTATTTTACACGGAAAACGGCCTATATCAAATGCGAGATCTGTATTAGCACTTAACATTTGTTTCAACAAGCTCCTCTCTTAGCGACAGACACTAACATGGTACGGATATTAGTTTCAATGAAGAAAACTGTAGTTCCGGGCATTTACCACAGTTCACAGTAATTCAGAACATATTACACACGAGAACCTCCCGATTTGAGCTGGTTGACCACAGTATTAACACGGGTATTCAGAAACCTTCCGCGATATTAAGATTATGGAGAAAGTAGTCCAATAAAGAACAGACCTTTTAAGGAAAATACAAGTTTTAGGGGTTATTTGTACCAAAACTCCTCCTCCAACACTGTTTATTACACGCAAAGAATTACATTCCGAACGCGAAAAATTATATTCTACGCGGTCTGCCAAACACTGAAGTAGCATAAAAAATACCACTACTGTTTAAAACGCTAAAGATTATCTATCTTATCATCTGTATAACGAACTTGGTTTCTTACTTCCTGACATTCCGAAAATCATCTATTTTCAAAGTTAATTTCCGTTTATATTTTACTTAACACTTAAACTTCTTATAATAGGCCTATTTTATTATATGGCAGCATGTTCACAAATAATACGTCTTTAGAGTATATTTATGATTTTATTGTTTATATAGACTTTCCACGGCAGTTTTCCTGTATCCCCACTAATCCCATAAAATATTAAGTTCGTTCAACAAACGCACCGATTTCCAGGAACGTATACTCTACTCGAAACAGTTGGCTTATAAATTTCTTTGTATATGTAAGAAAAAGTGAAACGGTTAAATAGAATTGGATGCAAGCATCACTGGTATACCCATTATATTTTAAAAACATGCACGTCCAGTTCATAATAATTTTTCGACACTAAACACGCACAAACAAATTTATTTGAAAGCAGAATAAACACCCAAATTTAACTTATTCAAACGTACTTTCCTCAAGTATTTATACCGAAATAAAACAATGTTCAAAATGCGTTAAATTCACAGATAAGATCTAAAACCACATCGAGTTCCAATGTTGGCTCCAAAATAACTGACGCACGATTCAAATTTGGATATGGCAGCCTAGTCACTTCATCTCTCTAGTTAAATTGGCCAGCTATAACATTGTGTTAACAGTGCATAATCATGCTGGGGGCAAGAACTAAGTAGCTTATTTAAACTTTTTTATATCACGCTAAAGGTCACATATACCACATTTCCTTTTGTTGTTGTATTAGGATGTAAAACACCCACAAAGGGAGTCAGAATTCAGTAACAAGTCAGCGAACAAATTGGGCTGCAATCTTCACTTATTAAATACGTACAAATTTGCTCTGGAATGTAAGGTCAACGAACTAAGATGGATGCCATATCCGAGTATTAGCGATCATAAAATTTAACGTCCAACGGTAATATGGATCTACGACTAAAACAATTAACAATGTATTCTTGTTTTATAATGTTTCTTTTGTTTCGATGGATGACAACGGTATGCAGTTTGGGGACCCCTTAACACGACAGGTCAACTAGGTCAAACAGGGTCAAACATGGCAGCACCCTCTACTCTACATCGTAGGCGACAGTATTCTGCAGTGGGGATCTTATTACAGAACTGTTAACTTAATTATTTAAAGCAAACTATAATTGTTATGTGAAATAACGCGTGTTTTGCTGGACAAACGAGTTCACACGAAAATTTTTGATCAAAGCCATCTTCATTCCCAGAATATTTTTTCACGTGTGATTATACACCGATTTATACAGCACCAACACTTTTGCATGAGTTATGTTCAGAAACAAGCATACATATATTTCGATTTTGCACTTCTACAACTACTGTTCCTAAGTCCATTACCCTCATATAATATACACAATAAAGAATTAATATGCATAGTTACTTTCCATTTATCAGTAGCGATTTTAACCCAGGTATCACTCAATTAAACGGAGGGTGGGATTTGTTCTGAAACAATCACAGAAACTGTCAAAGTCTAACAATCATATAAGCATAGTGGAAAAGCGTGATTTATATATTTTACAGTCTGTGCTTCCTCCTTATGAGTAGGCTACTTTCTCATGTTATTGACTTATCTTACCTGATCACGCAGAAAACAATCCGACAAATTACATGACTATGCAATCCGCGAATGAAACTACGAGGCCACGTACAATTTTGAATTGGTACTCCCCAAAACTATGTTTAAAAAAAACTCATTGCCCTGTTCAAACACACCCACGCAGCATCCAAATGCGGCAGCTTCCTGACGCAGTCAGGCCTTACAACTGCACACACATACACTTTATTTTATTTATAAAACCATAATGTTGATATTTAAGAAGTGTCTTGTTTTTCCTAGCTGGTGTTCCCACTACGACAGCCACATCGCACACATTTACACACAGCCGTGTTCTTTTCTCGTAAAATCAATAACTTCCGAAAACACACGATTCGCCGACGCTTGGCACAAAACAGACACCACCTTTACTCACTTACACATGAAACAATGTACATCTACCTGTACCTTTGTCGTAGCTTAGTGTTAGGGTATGCTTTATAAACTTAACAGAAAGCGGGAAAGTGTAACGTCATGTGAAACATAACTGACGTTTCCCGGTAAATGGCCACAACCTACACACAACGAAACAGCGAACTGACACGGGCAGCGTGGTACTGAACCTAGGATTGCACGATTCACTAAAGTATCGCTTAAAACACTGTTATTACCGGTCTATAGCACAGAAAAGAAACATTAACTGTTTTCTACTTACATTACTAAGACAGATTTCTGCAGGTACCCTCCTAACAACCGACACGGCCACTTACAACTGGACTACTGCTGCTGCTGGTAACGACCGCTGTTCCAACTAGTGTACAGCCTCCCCAGCAACGCAAATCGAACGACAAGAAAATAGCAATTACAGCTCTGTTGATACTAGATTTCGGTGGGATAACAGTGGTATAGTAGTTATCGAAGACGTTAATTAAAGTGGCGATATGTCGTTGCAATTAGTGATACACTTCATGTGTGTAAGCGTTGCTTTGACCCATGTGTCGGAGCGTCATACAAACGGAATAGCCCCCTCTTTGTCAAAGCACACTCCGCCGAAAACTACTAGACACGAGCGCGTTTTTACGAAGTGAAGTATCGCTATTTTCTGTTAAAAGGATTTTGTATCACACGTCTTTGTAGATATTATTCGGTTTTCATGAACGAAACATTGTCCTGTTTTCAGTACTATTTTCCGATGGATGAAAGTGAAATATCAAGGCACTCCTGTCAGACAGACCAGTCACTTTTGATATTGTCGTCTGCTTCTAGATCAAAGAACTTCCCCCTTGCCTTGGATCGCCCCTACATGACCTTGAGGGAATCTCCCATTACCCCTCACAGACAGTGTAAATACGGCATTATCGGTGTTACATCACAGGGCAATAAGTGGGGGTAGTAGCGGGGACGTAACATTCCTACGTCACGACGATCTTCATGACCGGTTCCAATGACACAATCAGCAGAGCGTGTGAGATCAAACTTCTCGAATTAAAAACTATCCGCTTTGATTTAATTGTGCCTATACCGCTGTCCCTCCAAGCGTCTACGTGGCGTATAACGGGACAGCTTTACTTTACTTCACTTATGCCATCAACAAAAGGGCTCTTGTGAACGAGACAATGGACGTTGCGATTTAAAAAAAAGACGGGAAATTCTTAACGAATTGAACGATATTGACTTTTCGAGAAACATTGTTCCATGGAATTAATTATTCCATAAAAATGTATCAGCTTGATGGTAGCAAATATCCTATTAAATTTTGTAAAATTTGTTAATGTCGCAAGTTTCAGAATGCCAACTGCCTGCCGTGGTTGGCAAATAGAAAACTATAATAGCAAAAAATTGCGATTACTCCAAAATAGGCGATTGGCATTTGGCAAAGTATTACTGGAATAAAATCTAGGAAATCAATGGAAATTTTTAAATAATGATACGGGTTGTAATGAGTACAAAGCTGTTCCTTACTCTAAAAATACAAATGAAATTATTTTGACAAAGGAAAATGTTTAGAGATTACTTACAATAAGCGGTGATTTAGGTTAACTCACGCAACACAGCGCTGCTTCCCAGAACAACATCGCGTACTATCTAACTACTTTAAGAAATTTCCGGACAGAATATAATTGATTCTATGCGTTTATATTTTTTTTCCCCGCTGACCAGTATTAAATTAATTGTAATTTCTTAATTGCACAGCGAATGCTTTTTACATTATATGGTTACCGACACAAATAATAAAGAATTGAATTGAATTGAATTGAATTAACGTAACCGGGTTGATACACTTTATATCGCTTTTTGGTCTATGAAAACAGAAACACCGAGAATGAATCCACTCCACAAAAGGATTTAATGTTTAATATCCCATCAACCCTTGTCTAATATGTGCATCCAATTTACAGCCTCTCTGTTACTGCATTGCAGTGGAATTTAACAAACATTAAAGCCTTTCGGATTCCTAACGAAAATATTCAGAAAAACAGTGAACTTACTCCTCAGTGGCTCTAAAGTCCTTTGAAGGTCTTTGGGTGGTTTCCTAAGCTAATTAGACATGTGGTTGGACTCCTTGGATCCATGATCAGCCAGTCGCAAGGCCTCTACCTACAAATGAAAGGAAAACAATAATATATTGAGTGTATCTATCTACATAACAGGCAAACGTCGGTTCGTTGGTGATTATTTGTTTAAATTATTGTTCTACTGCAGGCAATGTAAACACAAGCGTATCTCTTCAACGAGAGAACTGAAAAGTAATGGGTGTCATTTTATTCTCATCGTAGTGAAAACCTCAGATGTTATTGCTGTGGTACAGATACGTATTTGCTACAGGTAGAAGACTGCGTATGACAGAACTGATTAACCGTAATGAGGACATTGCATTACAAAAAGGAAAACGTTTTCCCCGAACCATGGATTAAACTGTCTCTATAGTCGCAAATGCTGAATGAAAGACGCGGTGTTAATGACTGGCACTCTTGCTTTGAACTCGGGACGATATGGTTTCGAAACTCTGTTCGGACACCCGTTATCCCGACTGCCTGACACTTATTGACTCTCGAGGCAAATAACAAATGTTGAATAGGGTTTCAGACTTTCACGGCGGTGCGTCCGAAGATGGCCGTATTCTAGGTTGTGGTGCGTGTTGTCTAATAGAAGTTTACCTAAGTTTCAGAGATTATTGCTGCCTCCATCATCAGGGCGATAGGCGACGCTACTTCCAAACTTCCTCCATATTTATTGCTATGAAACCTCTGCAACGAAAAAAATTATGAAATGAATCGAGAATCAGTGGAATGTTTTTGGCCTCCTCCATGTCATAGCGTAAATGCAGTTCCGCCTAACGAGGTGATGGACGATAACACGCCATGCAGAAGTGCGAGAGTGGTTGGCTGATGATCACGGCGGTTCCATTAGGCCAAAACGAACCTTCCGCCGATTTCATCCTCCTTGTAATGAAGTATACAAGTTGACGACGCTCCTCGTTATGTATTTTTTTCGTTTCCTTGTTGCTTTATCTCTGATACATTAAAGTATCCTTCTCTGCACTTTTCTCTGAAACTGCCTCAATATACGGTTCTCCTCGGTGCGAGACCGAGTCTCAAGCCAATATTAACTTAAACATCTTATTTCAACAGTATTTAAATGCTTGGTAGGCGATGAGAAGAAAAATATTACGAATTGAACAAAAAAGTTCCTTCGAATTTAACTTCCTATCAATTTATTTACTAATGTAATATTTTAGTGGTCAGTTTCTGTATCAATTATTTACACTTCGTCATATTTCTGAAGGGTTTATTATTATAATTTTGTCCAACCTTCTTGTAAGGTAACTAAATTCTTGACTCAGTACTACAGTATTTTCTTTGTGCAAGTGACAACTGATCGCAAGAAGATTCATCCTCACCTCCTCCGACATTACCTCACTCCTACTGACAGCTTCACAATCGACGGTTCTTTGATCCATTTTCGCGCTTTCTTCAACTGCTCTCCTCACCTTGTTCTCTAGTTCTCTTATACTCTGTCCAAGTCTTCCTTCTGCTTCAATCACTGCCGTAACTCTAAGTTTGAGTAGACACTCAGAATCGTCTTCTGACGTAATTTTCTCCATACTCTTCTAACTTTATACCCCTTGGAAAGCAAACGCTCACTCGAAGACATTGTTCTCATATATCTTCAGGATGTAGACGGGATTAAACTTGCTCAGAATGGGCTCAGTGGCGGGCTCTTGTGAACGTGGTGATGAAGCTTTGGGTTACACAAGAGAATGAGCTGGGAGGATGTCTCGACCAGCTGATCCACTTCCAGCTTCATAAACAGACCATTGCTCCGTGGTGTAAGATGTAATTACATATAGGGCTGCATCTCGAGTTCAGACAGAGGTCTCTTATACAAATAATAATATTAATAATTGTAGGACAGATGATGTCGAATGAGTCATCTTCAAATTTTTGCGCAGATCAGCAAATTCGTCTTGGTAGTTTTATCCTTGCAAAAGATAAAGTAATACAGATGTTTCAAGATGTAACTACCATATTAATTTCCACAGCAGAATTTGTATTTATATTTCAACTGTGTCTCTGAGTCTATGTTAATGCGTTCCTTTTGTGTGAGAAACTTTACACCATTGTAGCACGACGAGTTGTATACGAAAGTGATAGATAATACGAGACATGGCTTCAGTTTCTGAGCCCGGAGTTGAAACTAACTTTCACAACCAATTCGCAAGGAAAGGTGACGAATTTTATATCATCTGTCATGAGTTCCGAGACAATTTGTGTCAGTGACAAACGAAAGTCGTTCCGAGGAGACTCAAGTTTATAATGAGTCACTGTCAGTCTATACGAGTGAGCATCACAAACTGAAAAATGCTACATTATTTCATTGTCTTTCTCTCGTATGTTCTCCCTTTATATTTCTTTCTTGTTAATTTCTATTTCTTTAACTACATTTTCATTTAACTTTGGTTTAAACGCTGAAGTGTAGTGGTTTTTCTTGAGGTATGGACTGAATTCTTAAATTTTATTTACATGAGCTTCAAAGAGTTGACATACTTTTTCTTTTGTGGAAGCTGAAGGCTCAGAACCCTATCTAGGGCCGGATAAACCAAGTTCACACTTTAGCACCTCTTTTATTAAAGATTTACTTTGAAAAAATCTACCAATCTTCTGAGTCGTAGTTTCTTCCCCTTCAGATTTTCAGACTACAATTTTTCATTTTCCCCTGCGTGCTACATTCCCTTCCCAAATACAGCAATTTCGACACATTTTTCAATGATTTTATTTTCCTGTATATTAACAATATATTTATGCAATATTATTATTAATTTCTACCTAAACACGGAAAACACCATATTTGTTACATGTCTGAAGACACGCTACTATGGAAAATTTTTACGATATATGCACTAAAGGTCAAGAGACTCGCCATTTAAAGGTTACGCTGAACGAAACGTAATTAGTGTGGCGTGGGTCAAACGGGAATCCAGCTTTGGTTGCGGCAAAACGGTTGGGCGTCTTCTTTTAAAAATGAAAGGATTGGGCAGAAAACCAAGGAGGAATTAACACCTCGTAATTTTTGAAACGATGGCACACATGTAGATGAGCGTTCTCCATCCTACTTCGTTACCAATGAAACAGCACGAGGAAGTGATGGCTGTATCGTCTTCCAAAAATGTTTCCTATTAACTTCCCAGTAATGATTTTTCTAAAGCGGATTAAATGATTTTTGAATATTGTAACAAATGTTTTGCGTAAAGGAACTTATTGTGTGTTAACTCATTATTTTCTTAATCTCTCTTATAAATTTATTGGGCTTTTCATGAGGGTTAACTTCTGTTTTCCTCCCCATAATAAAGCCGATTGTTTTACGTTGAGCCGGGTATTCTGGCAGACCGTCAAATTGCGATCAGAACGAGCACCAACCATATTTTTGTCGACTGTAGCATTCATTCTTCTATTTGTACATTTAAAAAATAACATGTTATCTTAGAGCTTTAGATTTGTTCAGGCCGGCGCAGTAGTCACGCGGTCTGAGGCATGGATCTCGTGCGCCTGGCCGCTGGGACCGTGGGTTCGAGTCCCTCTCAAGGCATGGGTGTTTGTCCGCGTCTTTCTGTGTTTGTATAAGTAGAGGCCTTGAGTCTGGCTGATCACTCACCCAAGGAGTCCTACCATTGTCCAAAACAGATCAATTAACTGAATAAATAAATCCTCGACACCTACGGGTAAAAGAGGACGAGGGAAAGAAAGACTGAAAGGTTTGTTCAGCTTAAATTTTACAATAACCAGCAGCACTTACCTCTTTCAGTCAACAAAGTGTCTCGCATGATTAGATCCGTTTTAAATAAGCATCACAAGACAATACTATCGAGATAGTAATTGAACGCCTGATCAAATCGAAACTCGTTTGTGTCCGAACGAGTTACTCCCAACAGTTGGTACCGAGGAAGGTCGATTTAATCGACTTTCGATTGCTTCGGCATTAGGGTTGCAGAAATTCTAGGCTCTGACAACACAATGTTTTCTTATAGCAAGGGGCTTATCTTTAATTGGTCAACAGAAATAATTACAATTTTTAAAAGGTCCGGTGGCGCTATTTATATTGGATAATACTCACATAATTCTAACACTTTAGATTTTGACTCATGTAAACAACAGTTTATGTAGGTACAGCCACGTTGAAACAAAACATTGGAAAATGCACATATTACAATAACAAGACTGTTAAACCACATTGGTTAGAATATTCGGAAAAATGTATAAAAATCAAATCTCGATAAGTCGTAATTTTGCAAATGCTTAGTCTTTGAAGCTTAAAATAAATTGCTGAAGCCAAGAGGACTAACGATTTCTTTGACGATAATTCTATAATTGAAATAAAAGCAATTTTCGTTTCCATCCATCATTCACAATTAAGCAGATAACTCTTACTGTTTCTCATTATAGCATTTTTGTTCCTAACGTGATCACACAGGCCACTGAATAACACAAACCTCTCTCTGGAATCACCTAATGCCCTCTGTCATGATCGTTTCTTGTGGCCACTCCCGGCGTAGGTGTATTAATATTTCACAATAGAATTAATCGCTAGCGTCCGGATATTAGGACCTGGGGGTAGGCGGATGGGACAGGAACTACAAAAGATTCATTAGCAACTTTCCTTCTTTGTTGAAACTGCACATCCTTCTGCTTACCTTCCATGACAGCAGGTTCGTTAACTTATCAGCAGACACTTCCAAAGCGTTATTTCTGTCTAAGTACAATGGCTGCACGAAAATACATTAAAATTTACCAAATATCAGTATTTTTATCAGTTCAATCCCCACATTTTTCACCATAAAGTCTGGACTTGGCATACATCTACTTAACTCCTCAGGGGATCAAGTTTAAACTAACGTCAAAGATTCCACAATAAGCGGCGTTCGAATGCTTTACAACAATAAAATCATGCGAAATTAAGTTAAAGGTTTCCTTATTTTTTCATGTCAGCTTTACTAAA